GCTCTTCTTCCATAGCACGGCACCACTCTGGAGAGATAAGGGCTTCCTGGACATCCTTAGGAACAACCACGGAGGATAACAAAGAGATGAACTGGCGATGGGAGGCGGAGAGGTAAGTGAAACAAAATTGGAAATAGGGTGAAGGGTGCAGGTACGTTTACCTTTCCGAAAGGCAATAGAAAGATCTAGGTTGGAGGCTGGTGTCGGAGTTGGAGCTGGAACTGTCGACGGTGATGAAGCCGGAGGAGCTGCAGCTGGTATACGCGGGCGATGTGTATACACGTGACAGATGGGTGGACGGTCAACAGACGGTGGCACCGGAGGCAAGGACGTAGGCATGACTGGAACCAGAGGAGGTGGATCAGCTACAGGAAGAGGAAGAGGAGGTGGTGATGTGGAGGAAGCAGCATCACCAGACCCCACGAAGAACGGAGTAGACTCGAAGAATGTAACATCAGCACATACCAAGGAACGACGAGAACTGGGATGATAAYACTTGTACYCTTTCTGAGTTCGGGAATAGCCAAGGAAGATACACTTCRGGGAACGTGCATCTAACTTGTCAGTCACAGGACCCAGATTATGAACGAAGCAGACACACCCAAGTACCCGAGGAGGAAGCGGAAACAGAGACATGTTGGGGAATAAGACACTAAAAGGAGAACGACCATCAAGAATAGACGTGGGCATCCGATTAATTAAGAAACAAGAGGTGAGCATTGTATCGCTCCAAAAGGTTTTGGGAACATTCATGTGGTGCATGAGGGAGCGTGCCGTTTCTACAAGATGTTGGTTCTTTCTCTCAGCAACCCCATTTTGTTGCGGAGTGTAGGCACAGGAAGTTTGGTGTATAATGCCATGTTGGTCCAAGTATTCTTGAAAAGATGAAGACAWGTATTCACGRCCATTATCAGAATGGAAAATTTTGATGTGAACGCCAAATTGATTGCGGATCTCAGCATAAAATTTCTGGAAGATGGCAAATAATTCACTTCTTTCTTTCATTAAAT